TGTGTGTGTGTGACTGGAACACTGAATGTGTGTGTGACTAGAACACTGTGTGTGTGACTAGAACACTGTGTGTGTGTGGTGTGACTGGAACACTGTGTGTGGTGTGACTGGAACACTGTGTGTGTGTGTGTGACTGAACGCTGTGTGTGTGTGTGTGTGAGAGTGGTGTGACTGTGGTACACTGTATGTGTAGCGTGACTCTAGAACACTGTGTGTGTGTGTGTGTGTGTGTGTGTGTGTGTGTGTGTGTGTGTGTGAGTGGTGTGACTGTGGCACACTGTATGTGTGTGACTCTGGCACACTGGGTGTGTGTGTGACTGGTACACTGTGTGTGTGTGGTGTGACTGGAACACTGTGTGTGTGTGTGTGTGTGTGTGTGACTCTGGTACACTGTATGTGTAACGTGACTCTGGAACACTGTGTGTGTGTGTGTGTGTGTGTGTGTGTGTGTGTGTGTGTGTGTGTGTGTGTGTGTGTGTGGTGTGACTGGTACACTGTGTGTGTGTGTGTGAGTGGTGTGACTGTGGTACACTGTATGTGTAGCGTGACTCTGGCACACTGGGTGTGTGGTGTGACTGGTACACTGTGTGTGTGTGGTGTGACTGTGGTACACTGTGTGTGGTCGGCTGGACTTAAACAAATATTTTATTACTGTGGGGTTGAACTTTGGTACAGGTGTAGCGGAGAGTAATACAACCACGGCGCCCTGCCTCCCCCCAACATACACGTCAAGATTTATCACCCCCGCGACCTTCACTCCTCGTCTTTAGTGACACATGAAAAAATATGAATAATTTACGTTCATAAAAAATCCTTGAAGTATTAAAAACAAATCCGTTTATATTTGTGTTTATTTTACGCTGTGCACTATTTACATTATTTAAAGCATATACCAGCACGTACATTATTTAAATATACGTCATTTACAGTATTTACGTGTCCTCCATTTACATTATGTACACTATACATTAATTAATTAAATACTCAAATATTAATATTACAGTGGTCCAGGTGCAGAAAGACGAAGAATTTCCATTTTTTTATATTGAAACTGTGAGTGTGTGTGTGTGTGTGTGTGTGTGTGTGTGTGTGTGTGTGTGTGTGTTAAACCAGTCACAGTCGTTGTACTTAGTTGGAGTAAAAAAAATCCTTATCTAAATATCTGTCCTGTGTGTTTGTTTTATTGCGTGTTTTTGTCTATCTTAATTGGTCGTTTTTATAGGTGAAGACGTAGATGTTTACGTGCTTGTGTTTTGTTTGTGTTTGTTTTTCCTTTAGTTAATTAGTTGTTCTTTGTGTGTTTTATCCGGACTATTATTTTAGACACTGTTATTGTTATGTGGTATATTTCTACACGTAATTTAAAACATCTTAATTGATTTACTATTTTTTCTCATAAATATAATCGGATCACCTGAAAAATCTCCACCTCAGCTTATTTCACCTTAAAGAGTAACCTAACCTAACCTAACCTAACCTAACCTAATCTAATCTAACCTAACCTAATTTAACCTTACCTAGCTGTTCCAGGGGTGGGTGGTTCGATTCCCGGGAGCTCACAGTTCACCCAGCTGTAAATGGGTACCTAAGTTTACAACTTGGGGAAGTGAAGGCGGTCGAGTGCAGTACCGGCCATGCTGCCTCCTTGTGTACTGAAGACGTAGTATAGATAGATAGATATTTTATTGACCACAAATTATGATTACAGAGTTTACACAAAAATTTTACATAAAATGGTCCAAATGCAAATACTTTAAAACACCAAACATCAATAAAAGTTCACTTATTCAACCAGTAACACAAAAAATAGAGGAAAACCACGAGTAAATAAAGTAAAAAAAATATTAACTACTGTACAAGTAAAATACTGTGTGTTGTATCCACACTGTCCATAACGGGCAGTCATGCCTATGGGACCCACTAACTAAATGACTAACTAAATAACTGACAAACTGGCTAACTAAATGACTAACTGGGGCGGCTCTTCTTCTGTCCAACCGTTAGATAGGGTGGAATCAAAGGCATTTCGTCTTATTAACTCTCCTCCTATAGTTAATAATTTTTCTTCCCTTTCTCTTCGACTCAATGTTGCTTCACTCTCTCTCTTTTACAGGTACTTTAACGGGCAATGTTCAGTGGATTCAGCATCCTGTGTACCACCGGCAAGGCCGTGGGCTCGTAACACACGTCTTGCCCGCGGTGCCCACCGTTTCTCTGTGGATGTCTGTCACACGAGAATAACCTGTTATAGTACATCCTTCTTTCCTCACACAGCCAAACTGTGGAATGTTCTGCCTTCTTCTGTGTTTCCATACTTATACAATCTGTCTCAGTTTAAAAAGATGGTTTTCCGGCATCTTCGCTGTGTAGATTAATATAACCTTTTCCTTTTCTATTTTTAATTTCTTTCTGTTCTTATTTTTATCACCCCTAGGCCCCGTTGTGGGTCGTTCCACCTGTGCCCTGGTGGGCTAATTCCCGTAAAAAAAAAAAAACACTGACAGACTGACAAACTAAATGACTAACTATTTTTTTTATAGCTGATTGACTAACCAAATAACTGACTGAATGACTGACTGACTAAGTAACTGGTCGCTATATGTATATCTTCGTGCTGAGTGTGTGTGCACTCTGAGTATGCAAGTGTAGAAATCCACAGTCATGTACGTTTGTATGAGAGAGAGAGAGTTTCATTTCACTACAGCAATCTGTCTCCCTACTTTCCCTCCCTCTGTTCCCTCCCCTTCTCCTTTATAGCGCCCCCCCCCACCTCCCATCCTTCTTTACCTCTTTCCGATTAGTTATTTCCCTTTTTCTTTCCTCGTCTCTCCTTCTCCTTCTTTCCCTCCATTCTTTTTCCCTTCCTTTTCTCCCTCCCTCCCTCCTCCCCTTCCTTCCCTTCCCTCCTTCCATCCCCTTGTCCCTCTATTCCTTTTTCCTTTTTCCTTTTACCTTCTCCTTCCTCCTTCCTCCTCCCCCCCTGCCCCATCCTCCCTTCCTCCTCCGAGGCATGTTGGCACCATTAACCTGGGGCCACACTACCTCAAGGGCCATAACTGCCTTAATTACTTCCTCAATCTCACCCTTGACGGCACACCTCCTCACCGCCCTATTTTAACCCTTGCCTTCGCCCTTAGTAACCCCCTTAAAGACCCTTAGTACCTTAATGACCCCTTAGAGACACTTAGTATCCTCCAATGACCCTTTAGAGACCCTTAGTACCCTTTAATGGCCCATTAAAGATCCTTAGTACCTTAATGACCCCTTAATACCTCTTAATGAGCCCTTAGAGACCCTTACTATCCCTTAATGACCCATTAGAGATCCTTAGTACCCCTTAATGGTCCCTTAGAGACACTTAGTACCTCTTAATGGCCCATTAGAGACACTTAGTACCCCCTTAGAGACCCTTAGAATCCTTTAATGACCCCTTAAAGACCCTTAGTACCTTAATGACCCCTTAGAGACCCTTAGTACCCCCTAATGACCCATTAGAGACCCTTAGTGCCCATTAATGACCCCTTAGATATCCTTAATGATGCCATAGAGTCCCTTAGAACCCCTTAATGGTCTCTTAAAAATCATCAATGACCCCTTAGATACTTTTATTATCCCTTAGAGACTATTAGTACCCCTTAATGACCCCTTAGATACCCTTAGTACCTCTTAATGACCCTTATAAACCTTTAGTACTCCTTAATGACCCCTTATATATCCTTAGTACTCCTTAATGGCCTCTTAGAGACCTTTAGTACTCCTTAATGACCCCTTATATACCCTTAGTACCCCTTAAGGGCCCCTTAGAGACCTTTAATGCTTCTTAATGACCCCTTAGATAACCTTAGTACCCCTTAATGGTCCCTTAAAGACCCTTAGTACCCCTTAATGACCCCTTAGAGACCCTTAGTACCTCTTAATGACCAGAATGACAACTGAGTGACCCACGCTTCTATTCTTACATATTATTTGTAGTTTGGAATACCAGGCTGTGATTGGTGGATGTCTTACGTGCATCTGGTATGTATGTATGTATGTGTGGCGACCTGTGGTGTAATGGTCAGCATGCTCGCCTCGCAAGCGAGCGGACCTGATTCTATCCCCGGGCAGGGTGAAACTATGGGTAAGTTTCTTTACGCCATTTGCCTCAGTCTACCCAGCAATAATTGGGGACCTGGATGTCAATCGATTTGCGGGTCGTATTCCGGGGTAATGGTTAGCCAGTGTAGTCGGCGAGTTGTCCGGTCTTCTCAGACTATTCTTGGACACTGGGTCACTCAGCTCGTTAACTTAGGGTGTGGTTGTTGTGTTGGTAACAGCTTCTACACCTTAACAAATTCACGCCTAGGTGGCCCTTGGGCCGGCCATCCTCGTTACACGAGGGGCAACCATTATATTTTATTATTATGTGTGTATGTGTGTGTATTGAGTGTTTGTATGAGAGCTGTATAAGTGGACTGCAACTTACATAGAGGAAAATAAAGAAACAAACAAAGAGAGAGAGAGAGAGAGAGAGAGAGAGAGAGAGAGAGAGAGAGAGAGAGAGAGACTGGCCAACTTACTCCTGTTTTCAGCTAACAATTGACTTCTTTTTTTTAACTTGTGGTACGTTTAGTCTCAGCGGGGATGTGATACGCATTGTTATTTGATCCAGGTAAATGATGCATGCATCACCTTGTTTGTATGAGGGGATATGTATGTACGTATGAGTGTATGTATGTATGTATGTATATTCGTGTGTATGTATTTAGGTGTATATTATCGTATTTTACAAACATACAAACGTCTAATGGTTGCCCAGACTGTAAGCTATGTGTGGGCACTTGGCATGGACGTCCGCGAGGTACAGCTGGGCATATCAAGGTGCCCGGCCGTGACGTCATTCGTGCCACACACACACACCCACGTGACAAAAATCTTACTGTAAGCTAATCTATTGCATCTTAACCTAACCTAACCTAACCTAACCTAACCAGAGACTGACAATAGCATCTCTTTTTCAGGGTTTACTGTGCAGCGTCGGGCGAATTGGACGTGTGGTAAGTAACAGTATAGCTAAACGTTCTACACACACACACACACACACACACACACACACATACGAGGCAGTGTTGTGTTAATAGCAACAAACTACCAGGCTGCATCATTAAGGTATACATGACTGGGTGTCTGTATAGCCTCTAACACTATAGCCAGGACGCTGTACACACACTTTCTTACGGGATAAATTCTCAACTTGTTTACTGAAAATTGTATTAGAAAATATTTTACAGTGTAGTTAAAAAAAAGAACATTGGTGTTATATTACCTTAAGGCGGTTATATACACCTTAGTTCTCATTTGATTTCCGTTTGAGAACCGCCGGAGTGTTTGGTGGATTTGGTTCATACACGCCTGAGCAGTAAACGTAAGAATTTTATAAACAAGAATTTTCCTGTTTTTTGTGTTTTTTAACTTTTATTCCGAAAAAAAAAATGTTGTCTTTTATAACAGCGGTCCTTGTTTCAGTGAGATTGTGTTTTTTTTGCGTGGTTTTTTTTTGTTTTTTTGCTTTAGGTTTTTCTGTACTGATTATATCTAAAAATATTTAAGGATACATTTTTCTGCCTAAGAGTTGTGTGTTTTAGAGTTAAGAATTTTTTAACAGAAGGTCATTTTTCACACACACACACACACACACACACACACACACACAAGGCAGTGTTGTGTTAATGGCAACAAAGTACCTGGCTGGATCATTAAGGTGTAAATGACTGGGTGTCTGTATAGTCAGCCGGTAGTTAGTGTGATTCAGAGGTGCTGGAGGTGAGAGGGGGGCGGGGGAGACGAGGAGGATGAGATGAGAGGAGTGTGGGTAGGAAGAGGAAGGGTGGGGAGGAATGACGGAAGGAGAGTACAAGAGAGAAGGGGGAAGGGAGAGGTGGGAAGAATGTGAGGAGGAGAGAGAAAAAAAGGAAGAGTAGTAAGGATGATAAGATAAGAGGAAGAGAGGGAGGGGTAAAAGGAGAAAGAAGAGGGAGAGGGGAAGAAGGAAAAGTAAGAGAGAAAGGGGAAAGATGAAGAAAGGAGAGAGAAAGAAAGACACTGAAGAGAGAAGATAAAGAGGGAGAAAGATAAACGTTAACGGGAGAGGTCAAAAAATGAGGGAGAAGAGAGAGAGAGAGAGACTAACAATCTTATTAAACAAATCTGTTATTGTTTACAAATTCCCAGTGTCACTAGCCTGAGTAACCCAAGGTGTGTGTGTGTGGCTGAAAATATATACAGACTTGCATTTGATTTAGACATAATGATATAATATGCATTGAATACATTTATAGGGCTGTACTGTACATAAATCAGGAGTTGTTTATTATTTTAACAATAGATGGGATGGTGCTATTCTTATATCTATCGGTGCGGGCTCTTATGGGCTGAATTTTGTTGTAGTGGCGGACTGCGCGAGGTGGGTGGGGGGCTGCCTGTGGCAGGAGGTGGTGATGACGAGGGTGGTGCATTAGTTGGCTGCCAAACCTTTCCAGTGCTTGGTGGTGGAGGTCACTGAGGGATGGCATTTCCAGGGTGGAGAAAGCGTTGATGTAGCCCGAGTATTCTGCCCCGAGCATGATTCTGCAGGCCCTTTTCTGTACCTTCTCTAGCTGACGTTGTTGGGTGGAGTTGAGAGAAGACGACCAGGCTGGTGACGCATACGTTAGTTTGGGGAGAATAAAGGCGTTGTAGATGGTCCTCAGCTCTGGCGTGGGTGTCCCAAGTGACCTAAGTCTTCATAGCATGTAGAGACGGTACGAGGCTGCCTTGACTGTGTTATTTACATGGGCCTTCCAGTCCAGTTTGTTGTCTATAGTTACACCCAGGAGTTTATCAGACTGCACCAGCTGGAGAGGATGGGCACCCACTGTGACTGCTGGGGCTTGCACTGGAGTGGTGGCGGTATTGATGTGCATGACTACGGTTTTGGTGTGGTTGATGGTGACCTTGTTCTCCGTAGTCCATGCCTGTAGCCTGTCCAGGGTGCCTTGTAGCAATGAGTAGTCTGGTGCGGTGTTGTCCACTGAAATCCCCACAGTGCAGTCATCCACGTACTTCCACCTGTGAGGAGTGTCCGATAGAGCGTTGTTGATCAGGATGAGGAAGCACAGTGGTCTCATCTTGGTCCCCTGGGGAACACCGCAGGTGAGGTGTTGGAATGTGGAGACCGAGCCCTGATACCTCACTGCCTGGCGACGTCCACTCAAGAAATCAGTGAGCCATGAGACCAGGTTGGTGGGCAGCCATAGTGCAATGGCTGTGTTGATAACAGAAAGTGTGTGTGTGTGTGTGTGTGTGTGTGTGTGTGTGTGTGTGTGTGTGTGTGATCGAGAAGCCAATATTCAGGAGTGCATGCAATATTTCTACACCTGTTATTGGTGATATTTCACAATTGTAACACCAACAAAATAACAAATATTAATCTAGCCAGAATGAGTTAGTGGAGGTTGCCAAAAACTGTCTTTGTGTAGAGTTGTGTCAAAATTGACCAACCTGTACAGAAATAGCTGGCGAGAAAATCCAATCATGGGACCGTCCGTATCTGGAACTAGTGTGCAGTATGTCCTCGACTGGTAGAAATGGCCGTATCTATAAGATTACCTGGTCTAGCACCGGAACCAACGATCTGGTACAACAACTTGGCCTAATTCACTCTACCACTAAATTTAAGATGAATCAATGAACTCTGTGTCAAGTTATCAACCCCAAAACAAATTGACAATGACGGACGGACGGACGGACAGACGTATGGTATCACTGTTATAATCTCTCAAAAGCTCAAATAAAAATAGACAAACTGTAAGAATTATTTTTGGGGGTTTATTAACAAGGCTTTTCTCTCTGTCAAATGTCATAAAGAAAAAAAAATCTAAGTTATCAGATGACCTTAAAATTCGCTCCCTATCCCAGTTTATTTCAGCTGATATCTAACCTAATCGCCTGAAGGCTCCTTGGGGGGGGGGGTGAGGGTTGTTTAGGGTAGATTAGGTTAGGTTAGGGTAAGTTAGGTTAGGGTAGGTTAGTTTAAGTTAGGTTAAGGTAAGTTAGAATAGGTTAGGTTAGGTTAGGTTAGGTTAGGTTAGGTTAGGGTAAGTTAGGTTAGGTTAGGTTAGTTTAAGTTAGGTTAAGGTAAGTTAGAATAGGTTTAGGTTAGGTTAGGTTAGGGTAAGTTAGGTTAGGTTAGGTTAGTTTAAGTTAGGTTAAGGTAAGTTAGAATAGGTTTAGGTTAGGTGTATGTTAGGTTAGGTTGTACTTGTTTACCGTAAGGGTGGTTAATATTAAGGTGAAATAAGCTTGGGTGGTAGAATTTGCTCCGTAACTGTACATCAACACACGCAGAAAGAATAAAACAAACAGACAAATAAATAAGAAAATAACAAATAAATAAACAACAAACAAACGCAAATTATAAAACAAAAATCTCTGTCTTCGAGGGGGAAAGGGAGGAGGGGAAGGGAGGGGGACAAAGGGGAAGGGAGGGGGAGAAAGGGGAAGGGAGGGGGAGGCATAATTATGGTCATTATTCAAGCAACCAAAAAAGCTGCTGCTACCTGTACTAGTCGAGGTCGTTGTCGTCATGGTACCAGTGTTTGCTACCCATACTGAACTACACATGTGCTCTTGATTCTAACTATGATACTGTAGCTGTCTGTATGGTAGCGTTGTGAGAATGGTGGCGTTGTGAGAATGGTGGCGTTGTGAGAATGGTGGCGTTGTGAGAATGGTGGCGTTGTCAGAATGGTGGCGTCGTCAGAATGATGGCGTTGTCAGGATGGTGCCGTTATCAGAATGGTGGCGTTGTTAAAATGGTGGCGTTGTGAGAATGGTGGCGTTGTGAGAATGGTGGCGTGAGAATGGTGGCGTTGAGAATGGTGGCGTTGTCAGAATGGTTGTCAGAATGGCGTTGTCAGAATGGTGGCGTTGTGAGAATGGTGGCGTTGTGAGAATGGTGACGTTGTGAGAATGGTGGCGTTGTGTGGTGGCGTGTGAGAATGGTGGCGTTGTCAGAATGGTGGCGTTGTCAGAATGGTAGCGTGGCGTTGTGAGAATGGTGGCGTTGTGAGAATGGTGGCGTTGTGAGAATGGTGGCGTTGTGAGAATGGTGGCGTTGTGAGAATGGTGGCGTTGTCAGAATGGTGGCGTTGTCAGAATGGTGGCGTTGTCAGAATGGTGGCGTTGTGAGAATGGTGGCGTTGTGAGAATGGTGGCGTTGTGAGAATGAGAATGGTGGCGTTGTCAGAATGGTGGCGTTGTCAGAATGGTGGCGTTGTGAGAATGGTGGCGTTGTGAGAATGGTGACGCTGTGAGAATGGTGGTGTTGTGAGAATGGTGGCGTTGTGAGAATGGTGGCGTTGTCAGAATGGTGGAATGGTGGCGTTGTCAGAATGGTGGCGTTGTCAGAATGGTGGCGTTGTGAGAATGGTGGCGTTGTGAGAATGGTGGCGTTGTCAGAATGGTGGCGTTGTGAGAATGGTGGCGTTGTCAGAATGGTGGCGTTGTCAGAATGGTGGCGTTGTGAGTGGTGGCGTTGTGAGAATGGTGGCGTTGTGAGAATGGTGACGTTGTGAGAATGGTGGCGTTGTGAGAATGGTGGCGTTGTGAGAATGGTGGCGTTGTCAGAATGGTAGCGTTGTCAGAATGGTGGCGTTGTGAGAATGGTGGCGTTGTGAGAATGGTGGCGTTGTGAGAATGGTGGCGTTGTGAGAATGGTGGCGTTGTCAGAATGGTGGCGTTGTCAGAATGGTGGCGTTGTCAGAATGGTGGCGTTGTGAGAATGGTGGCGTTGTCAGAATGGTGGCGTTGTTAGAATGGTGGCGTTGTGAAAATGGTGACGTTGTGAGAATGGTGGCGTTGTGAGAATGGTGGCGTTGTCAGAATGGTGGCGTTGTGAGAATGGTGGCGTTGTCAGAATGGTGGCGTTGTGAGAATGGTGGCGTTGTCAGAATGGTGGCGTTGTGAGAATTGTGGCGTTGTCAGAATGGTGGCGTTATTAGAATGGTGGCGTTGTGAA